GGTCCTACCCACATTCGTGGGTTTCCCCTTTATGGACTTTAAACTCCCCTTCCTTGCCCCATCCATCGAGCGTCTTAAAAATAATTTTATTAGAATAGAGAGGATTTTATCGATAAAAATTTTCCCTCGACAAGGGTTGGGGGCCATAACCTTTATAACTCAATGCTAATATTTAATACTTATCCATGAATTCGAGTGTTTTCATTGTTTTGTCCATTGTTAGACAACTTTTTCGTCTTTTCTTCACCGTAAATTAGTTACTTTTTCTACTGTAGCACCATCCTCCAACTTTACTCTCTCTTAGATTTTATATTACAAAATTTTATCTGTTTATTCTCGTCTCTAATCTCTTTATTTTATTTTGCTATTAGGTTTTTAGCACTTGTAGAAGAAGAAATTTATTCAGATTCGTCTCCCATTTGGGATCCTGAATATCGACCTGCTCCACCTCGCCACCTACAGTCCTCAGAAAAAGGTAGTCTGTTCTTTTCTCCTTCTGTTTTGATTCTCAGCTAGGATTGGGTACTGGCCTGTGAAAAGGTTATGTGTTGTATATTGGTTAAAGTCGTGTCTTGAGTCAATAAGATGATCTTATCAACTTTCTAGAGGACTTACAAAACCAAAAGAAACAAAAGCTAAATAAAACTAACGAAAAAAAATGAGCTGACAAACTGTGATTTGGATGAATAAAAGAGAAAATAGAATCAGAAAATTAAAAAACTCAGATGAAAAACTCACTGAAATAAATTAAAGTAATTGCCTATGCGCTTCAGAAAATCAGCATCAGAATTTCAGCCTTAATTAAAGGACTGCATGGTTTCAAAATACACAGACGTTTACTTCAATTCATTTTGTGAGTTAGACTGAGAGTTTTTCAATTTTTCAATTCTCCTTTCTCTCTTTTTTGGAGGACAATTCTCTCTTTTTATCAGGTGTAATTTTTATTTGCTTATTTGATGCTATCCATATTCTCATGATTCTTGCTTTAAGATTACTAGCAAATGAAAAGATAAGATTATAAAATAAATAAATACATACTGCTATTCTCTTTGCCTAAAATATTTTTTCCTGGCTCTAACAAATGAATTTACTTTGCACTAAGAAAACTAAAAACATTATTCTCTCTACAGGTGTCCGCCGTCCAGGTGAATTTGAGAAACTGACAGCTCCTACTAATGAAAAAAATAATTTTTCAACGGTTAACATCAGCTTAGGGATGGGGAAGAAGTTGAAATTAGACCCTTCCTTAGCGTAAGTTTGCTTCAAATACTCACTAAAATTTTTTAATGCCTATCTAAATACCAACATTAAAATGCAATTCCTCAGTTTGATAAAGTAACATTTCTTATGAGGTTGTCCAGTAAATTTCAATTCTTCTCAATGATTTTAAGGGGCAAAAAACGAGTTGAAAGTGACTTGATTTTAGCTTCCACCTCTATGCGCATTGTCGAGCAAGGCAAAATGGTCCCCAAAGAGATCGATCCGATTGCGGTTGCTGCGCTGACTAAAAATGTAAGAAAAAATCCAAAGAAATTTCTGTTAACTAAGTGCACCCTCTACTTTTCAAAAATGTAAGAATTAAAAATGAGCAGAAAAGCTCATTAAGCCACATGTTCAAAAAACTCTAATTATGCAATCCCAATAAGGAGGTTATTTAGAAACTCAAATTTTATGGTTTTATGGTATTCAATATGTACAAATTATTGGTTTTCTTACCTGACTTTGCTTAAATTTCTTCAAATGAGATTTATACCTTTGCAGAATTTTTAAAAACATAGTGGCTGAGAAAAAATTTGTCTTAGTTTTTAAAAATGAGATTTTTTAATACAGCCTGGTTTTGCATCACATTTACAAAATCTTACGAAAATTGACGAACTTCAAGTTTCTTCATCGGATGACACAGATGACTCAACATTCGGCTGTTTTTCGAAGTATTTTCCACCACTTTGAACACAAAGCTTCAGCCGTTCTGCCAACTTCACAAGGATCGTCTTTTCAAAGTCCTCTTGACAGAGGGTTTTGAAGCAGTTTTGAACAGCGGTTTTGATCTAGGCTTTGGAATGGCTCTTTCCTGAGTTAAAAACATTTCTGAGAGGCACATGGTTTGATTCCATAGCCTAGATCAAAACTGCTGTTCGAAAATGCTTCAAAACCCTCCCTTAAGAAGACTTCGAAAAGACGATCCTTGTGAATTGGACAGAGCGGCTGAAGCTTTGTGTTTAAAGTGGTGGAAAATACTTCGAAAAACAGCCGAATGTTGAGTCATCCGTTTCATCCGATGAAGAAACTTGAAGTTCGTCAATTTCCGTAAGATTTTGTATGTTTTTTCAATGAAAACACTCAATTCTCATTTAACTTTTTTCCCCTTGATAAACATATTGGTAGCTAAAAATCCTGGAGGCGGTCACGCTACATGTCATTTTCAGAACCCTGTATCTCCGTCATTTTTTAAGCTAGAGAGTTGTTCTTGGTCCTGTTTTATTGGTAATTACGTCTACTTCAAGCACACATAAACCGCAAATCGATAGCTGCTTTCGTTCGCTCAAAATCCAGAAGTGTGCAAAACTTTTTGAACACCCTATGTAGATGGTTTTAGGAACAGTATTTATCTCAATTTTTTTCTTTTTCTGCCGTAATGTGAAGGAATTTAAGTTCCATAACTAACTGAATTTATGTTTTGATTGGATGAAATTTAGTTCATTACTTTTCTTCCTCTTTTTTTTCATCATGACATATTCATGCATATTCTGAGCAAAATGTTTGCAATGGGTCTGTTGCACGCAAGAGATACAGCCAACTGAATACACTTTTTAGGGGTAAATTTGCCCAAAAACCACGTTGGGCCCGCCCATGAAAATGTGGAAAAGCCCCCAAAAATGTAGAAGGGGGGAATATTTTGAAGGGTTACAAGTCGAAAGTCTACAAAAAATAGAAAAGAAGTCATTTACTTTTAAATTGGTGGGAAATTTTGTGGGAAACCGATGAGAAAAATATGGAAAGCCGGTGAGTGAGCGTGTGAAAATGTGAAAGCTCAAAGATTCTGTACCCCTGAAACAACATCGTTTGTATTCAGCAACCGAACAACGTAAAGCTCCTCAAATCTTATTATACCATGAAATCTTCCCAGGTCAATTAATTTTCCATTTATTGCAATTTGAAACTCCAGTAGAAATTAAAAAATTTCGAGTTTTTATTCCTCCTAAATCTTAATATTCTTAGATTCCTTGTATTAGCAAAAGAAAGATTCTTTGTCTACATTTTTGCAGTCATGAAGGTTTTTTTTCCATTTCAGCAAGTAGATCGGGCTCAAAACAAAGTGCACCTACTTTAGCATATTGATAACAAAGGCGCCATCTGGTTTTAAAAATTGTTTCGCCTTGCAATTTTTTAGACTGTCACAGCTCACCAGTTCGAATAAGGAAGAAAATTACTGTAAAATCTGAAATGATAAGCGACATTACTTGATAAATCAACATAGTGCCACCATTCTCTTGCTTCCTCCCTTCTGTTCATCTCCACATCAAAAATTACTCCCCATGACTCATTATCTATCTTTGTTTTTTTTTTTTACATAGTGATGATTCTCAAAAAGAGACTAGTGAATCAAAAAATCGCTCTGATCGAGTGAGTGGAGCTGACAGCAAAAGTCGGAAGTCGGATCCACTATGTGGCCCTGAAATAATAGGGGATCCAACAGAGGAGGAAGTTGTTGAAATCAATGCCAAAATCAACAATCTGAAACAGAACTGCGGCCTAGAGGTGATACTTCTTTGTGATATTACTTTCTAGATTAATATTCAAGGATTCTAATAACCGGTTCATTGTCGATCATAATGATCTGAGTTACCAGGTTGTGCGATAAAATAAGGATATAAAAAGTGGGTTTACTATCCTCATTTTATGAGAAAAGTGCCTATTTTTCAGCACAATCTGACAACAATGATAATGATTGGACAGCTTTGGAATTTTCCAGTCGCCTCTATAAAGCGATTCCATCTGCAAGCAACATGACTTCGATCAACCAGAGCCAAGGCTTTTGACATTTTAAGGAGGGGAGGGGGGTCTGTTTTTTTCTTAAAAAAAAAAAAAAATGCATTTTTGTAAATTTTCGGTCTTACTTTCAGTTTTTAGGAGAATTTTTGGTGCCCGTAGTTCAACTGATGTTTAGTCAGTATTTTGATTTTTGGTTCAACCAATGCTGTACCCTCAAAAAGCAATAATTGGGAAACTTTGGTGCCATTTTCTGGGGGCTTAAGAAAGTCCTAATCATAGCACCATAATAAGGGACATTTTTCCGAATCTGAAGGAAAATTTAAGAGTATAACTTTGGGATTATATCCTCGAAAGTGATTAAAATGTTTGTCCCTACAAATAATACAAAATATGAGGGAAATTTCACCATTTTGACAAACTTCAAGGTAGATTAGGACCTACTTTTAATTTTGCAAAATCCCAAATATTTTTTTCGCCTGCAATCCGTAATTTTAGGTTCGGAAAAATTGTCCTTTTTATGATATTCTGGACTAGGTCTCCTCAAACTTCCCTTACTCACAACAAAAACCATATGGACGTATCTATGTTAAACGGGACTGTGTTCCATGCAAACCCTATGCACATAGTTCCTTTTAGCATAAAGACATTCATATAGGGCCTTCCTAAGAAAAGGAGCTGATTAAGGAACGACTATGAATACAACTCATAGCACCGTGTAAGATTTTACTTTTTGGATGATCCCTGTATCATTTTGAATTAAGTCTCTGCTTGAGTTAAATTCACTTGAGTATTTTTCCCTAAGACCTTTAAATTCATTTTTTTTTTCTTAATCAAAAAATATTAAAATTCTGAGGTCAACCTAAGGCCAATACCTTCACTGCTGTGTTGAAAATCCAAACTTATCAAATATTTCCAGGCTGTTTTTGCTGACAATGGTCCCAGAGATGAGCTACCCAAAATAGAAGAAGCAAGAGGAATGATCGAACTTCAGTTAGTTGGTAATAGTTTATCACAGCCAGTTAGTCAAGACACTATGATGTGGCTGATAGGTCTTCAAAATCTGTTCTCTTACCAATTACCAAAGATGCCAAAACATTACATCACTAGGCTGGTTTTCGATCCGTAAGTTTTTTATTTTTGTGTGAACTCATTTTTTTAGAGAGATTCCTCTCTTGAAATTTTCAAAGGAATTAGAGATCATAATGTGCACTCTTTTCGTATGGATGTAATCATATTTATTTTAACATGCACTCTCAAAAGCCTCATTCACACTGTTCTCTGTTGCTCTGCAACAACTAGCCGCCCAAGTCCCCTATCCTCCCAAAGCCCTTCAGAGAGTTGGCTTTCTCTAATTTCTTTCAAAACTCCCTGTTTTCATTTTTTTACTGGGCGTACACTTTTACAATCAAACTTATTGTCGTCCTCATTTTGTCTTTCCAAAACAATTCCTTGAGTCTCTTTTCAGTGGTGCAAAAATTATACAAAGCTTCTCTAGTTTTATGAGGAACATCTTACAGTTCCTATCATTATACTTCGTAATTCAACACACAGTCTTGTTAAGTAACTTCTAATCGTCATTATTTTTCCAGGAAACAAAAAACACTAGCTTTGATAAAGCATGGTAGACCAATCGGTGGAATTTGTTTCCGCATGTTTCCAGAACAAGGATTTTCAGAAATAGTTTTCTGTGCTGTCAGCTCAAATGAGCAAGTGAAAGGATATGGTACTCATCTGATGAATCATCTTAAAGATTACCACATCCAGATAAATATTCACCATTTTTTAACTTTTGCTGATGCTTATGCCATAGGTACGTCTTTCTTTTGTAGAACTATTTCCAAAACTTAATGTTAAATCTTAAATCCAAAGCAAAATCTTCTCAATCTTATCGAATACTTATATAGGTAAATATGTTATCTTCTCCGAAGGTACTTGTAGTTCAAATATTGTGGATAATAATTTTAAGGAGTCCCCAGAAAAATTTAAAAAGGAAAAAATACATACCCTCAAAAACGAGTCAGCAGTAGGTAACCCCTAAAGGATCGAAATATTTGGCCTCTCTGCAGCAAAATTTTCTAGCATTGTGTTTTCATATTGTCTCAAATATGTGAACAGGATTTCTTGTAAGATTAATGTTTTCGACAGGAAAAGGGTGCTTATGTGTTGTAGGGAGAACGCATTTTCTGCATCCTTGTACCATAAGCTATCCAATAATATATTGTTTACAAATATTTGAATTAAAGCAAAATAAAGACCATGGAGTGGGAGTGGAACACTGATTCTGTAGCGTTCCTGTGTGTCAAAGACAGCTTATCACTGCACAGCAATATGTATTGGACATTTCAGCGCTTCTGTTATCCACGACTCTCTGTTTCATGGACAATGGCTGAAATTGTTTGTTTTTTTTTTCCGGTTAAAATAAGAAATGAGATGTGTTTTCAAAATTTCACCCCTCCTTCTCACCACATCTTTTTTTAAAAAAAAGGAACAAGAAACCACAAGTGGCAGGTATTGGAAGGCAAAACAACTGTATTCTTTAGTGGCAGCTGTCAGAAAAAAATGCATATCGGAAAATAACAGGAGGCGATTGAATTTGTATTAGTATGATGAAGATATAAAATAGGCCATGAAATACCAAAAACTGGAGCAATTCTTGCACAACAGTGTTGTCTGAGTGAATATCAACTTGTGAATTGTGATTGGTGTGATGTAATCTGCATCTATTTTTATTAAGATTCCATTCATCATTAAACTGTTTAGTAGCTAAAATTTTTACTGCCTCTACGTGGTTATAAATGGTTAAAAAATCCTGTGGTAGCGAACTTATGATAGTCTTCAAAAAAAGCCTATCACTGCTTTGTTACCTCCTCTAAACTTACATGATCACAAACTGTATCACTTCTGATTCTTCTAGGTTACTTCAAGAAACAGGGGTTCAGTAAGGATATTAAGCTGAATCGAGCCGTCTACCAAGATTTAATAAAGGATTATGATGGTGCAACGCTCATGCACTGTCAGTTGAATCCAAAGATTGTTTACACTGAATTTACCAGTGTTATTCGCAAACAGCGTGAGGTAAGTCAGTTAGTAATTTATGATTTGTTACGAATTCAGTATTTGTATGCTGAAAAGAGAGATCATATAGTAATGTCAGGCAAAACTGATAAAAGTTGCTTAATGTTTGTGCAAGCTAAATGGATGTTTCATTTTGGAGTTATTTAGTGTCTTGGTTTTTAAATTGTGAAGCAACTATTAATAAGTCTTTTTATACGAGTCTTTTTACTGTATAATGGAAGAAATTACTATTACCTGTGTCATTAGTCAGGCACTTTGTGTGGAGGCAGGTTGAAACGTAAAGGTATTTTTGTATATTATAAGATGTGTACTGAACTTTCCCTTCTAGGTACTTAAATTCTTACATTTTGCCTCCACCGTGCATATCTCTTTTGCACCTTTTCTCTACGCCATGCGAATAATTAACTGTAAAGAGAATTTTCCATAAGATATGGGCAAGCTCGCATTGAGTCTCAACTCTTAAGTATTTTTCGAGATCTTAAAGGAGATTCGCAATAGAAATGTAATCTACGACATGAAAAGTGGCGGCTGAGGGGCAGAGTTTGGTGAGCGGCTCGATCTATTGCTTAAGGGTTGGTTGGCTGCGACAAGCCTGAGCCCTCTGAATGTACCAATATACCTGTGTTTCAACCCTTAAACAATAAATTTAGCTGCTCACCTGACCCCACCCCTCAGCTGCCACTTTTTGTGTCATTGACTAAAGCAGCCCTATTATGTTTCTTACAAAATTTCATGTTGGTTTGGTTGATTCAATAAAAAATCTTATGTCTTTGCAAGATCTTCATTTATTAAAGAATCCGTAAGCTTGACCAATGGTTTACGTCGTCAAACAGTTCCACACTAAATGAGAATGTGAAATGGACTGCACAAGATGTAGATAAAAGAAAGAAAAAATATAATTCACAACTCACTTCCAATTAAAATTTTTTTAAAACGATTTTTACTTTGGACCAGTTTTGAACATGTAGCTCATTTTCAGCAATAACTGCAGCTGCTGATATCGCTAAAGTTATCGTCGAAGATGAACCACATGCATCTTTTAGAAGAGCTGAGGACTAATCTCTTTTAATATCAAATCAACTTATTTCATTTTTTTCATCATTATATATGGACTGAGTTAAGCAGAAAGGAACCAACCCACATATTGAAAAAAATTGAGTTATGAGTGGTTTTGAACTCAACCACTGCTCTACTATCTATCGCCAAAAATTCAAAGTTTTTGCTGGAGAAAATTTTGCAGAAATTGAACTTGAAGTTTATCTTTTACATTGAGTCTTATGCAGGAGCCAAACTTTAAACCTCTTTCTCTCGGTTCGATCCCAATGTGGCTTGGTTCATTTCTGTTTAACTCCGTCCATATCTAAGTTGACTATGAGCGAATAAATATTACAATGTTGGCTATATTTACTTGCATTTTCTTCAAAAAAACTCTTAAATCGTAACTACATACCAACCTGAACTTAGCTTTTTCTATAAAAACAACGATTTAATAGAAAAACAAAGCCTCTCATAGGAGAAAATTTTTAGATTTTAATTGTGAGTCTCCATTTCAGATCATCAAGTATATAATTGAATCAAGAAATTCACAAGCTCAACAGGTGTATCCAGGGTTGACTTGTTTCAAAGAAGGCGTTCGTCCAATTCCTGTTGAGTCAATCCCTGGTATCCAAGAAACTGGTTGGCGGCCTGCTGCGCGCATGACTCGAGTGAACAGGATGACGGAAGAATGTTCTGACCCAGATACATTAGCAAAGAATTTCAGTATTATTCTCAATACTGTAAGTCAGTCACTATCAAAGGGCAGTTTAAAGTTGCCACCTACGATTAGGCTGATCTTTTTCACAGACTCTTTAAACAATTTAATTATACTTCTTTCCTCTTCTTGTCCCGCTTTGAGCTACGAGGACCCAGAGCAAAGCGGAAAACCTTTGCCCTGGCCGTCGGCTTTAAAGTATTGATCTTCCTTTTGAGAAATTTTTCTTAACTCGTTATGATGCTGTATGTCAAATTTCACCGCCTAAAACCAACCCCAAATTTTTTTTTTGAGTTTTTTGCTGAAGTATGTAAGTATCTCTTCCTTTCTTTGTCTTTCTATAAATGATTACCAAAGCTCGGATAAAAGGCTGTTAAAAGATTTCAAATGTATGGAAGGCTAGTAAAGCTCAAACGGAGTAGATTTTCAACAACAGTCCCAAAAGTTTAGCACTTCCCATCACAACTGGATTTTAACAGAACATTGAAATTTTACATTCAGTCACCAGTGATCATTCCCCCATAGGTTAAGAAGTGCCCGAACCCTTTCTTGTTCACTGTGGAAGAGGAGCAAACACGTTTGTAATAGATTTGTCTAAAGAGTTTGTGATGTAGAAAAATTCAGCCCAATCAGATGTTGCAGCTTTACTTTTTTTGTTTGGAATTATTTTTCTTGTCATCCCTGAATAATTTTGCACTCACGGAAGAGAAAAAAACAATTTGAGATTATGTACAGTAAAAAATGTTAAGGTTTGAGAACCAACTAATAGTACATATGATAAATAAGATTTTCCCTCTTATGTTTACCGTCATTAAAATCTCATCAAAAATTGATATTTCAGCCGACTGTTTCCTAAAGATCATCCTTTACAAACATCAATATGATTCGTCTTTAATATTTTACAACCTATTAAACATCAAAAACATTAAGAAGCACTCTTGGTAATACATATTTGCAAAGGCAGAAACCTCCAACTTGATTCAGCTCCAATCAAAGAGCCCGACGATTTGTATTAGTGTAGGTAAATAAGGTAACCAGTATTATCTCATCATACTTATGATGAAATCCTTAAATTTCCAAAAGGACTGTAAATCATGTTTGCCTTTCCTAACTTATTTCTGGATTGGATAAAATATGAAAAGCCTTGTTACTCCCAAAAATGAAAAAAGGAAGTATCTGCTTCTTTTAAAACTCATTGAAAAATGTTCATGAAGTCCATGTTCAATTTCTGAACAAATAAGCCTTATATATGTACTATCTGTTGTCCGTATCAGCACTTACAAGCAATGCTGTCCAGGGATTTTTCCCTCAATAGACTGTGAGGAAAACTATTGTTATGATTTGCCTCTCACTTTTAGAGAAGTAACCGATATTTTTGTTTTTTTTTTAAATAATTCCAAAAAAATTATTTTGATTTATTTTCTTGCTCTTTCATACAGTTGTAGAGCAGTGGTGTTCCTTGCAACTTCAGTCTCTGTCACAGAAAAAAGTTACACCTAAGTATGGTGGATGTACTTTTTTCAGTGCATTCACTGTTTTTTCTACAATTTCTTTGGGGAAGGTTTCTTATGTATCTAAACCAACTAAGCTTAATGCAGCGAGTATTCCATAGCCAAAAGATTTGACACATGCCATTTTCACTGATGAAGCCTCATTTATTCATGATCAAATAAATAAATAAATAATATGTAATGCTGGGTGTTCTTTTTCCAGATAAAAAATCATGATTTTGCTTGGCCTTTCTTGGAGCCTGTTAAGACTGAAATTGCTGCCGATTATTATGACCACATAAAATATCCAATGGGTGAGTAATGCTTTCGTATAAACTTCTTTATTAGCTTTCAAAAAATGTAATGTCAGTGACACAATATGAAGCACCGTCATTCAGTTAAAATCTCACAAGCACCCTTCAAATAGGATGCTCTGAAATTTAGGATTTTCGGTCAAAATCGTACATTTGTTTCTCCTCCATTCGTTTCTCCATTTCCCATTCCCTCCCAAAGCACATTTTCTGCCCACCTAGACCAATCTTCACAATTTGACGCAGGAGACAATCTTAAACTGGCAAAAACCCTGCACTCTTTAATAGGAAATTGCCGCTTTCAAGGATTAAGTTATAAGAAGCTCTTTTGGAAGAGGAAGCACTCTGGGTTCCATAAAAGAGCCATGCGTTTTTTCAATGTGCTGTATCTCAGAATCTACAAGTCCGATTGTCATTTTCTGAGTTCCATTTTAAGGTTACAATGCTCATAAATTTCTCTGTATGAAGCACACATGAATGGATATTGGGAAAAATTAAAAAATTTCTAGGTTACATAATTATTTAACAGGCGTAAAAATGGATTTTTTCACCTGAAGCAACATTGACAGTAAGTTATCTCCTTTGTTGTATTTGTGCAAAAACCGATTTTGCACATTAAAAAATCGACCCGCTAGAGCATTTAAAGTGAAGCGTTGCAGCTGGCGGCAGGGAATGAAAACGGTGCAATGATGACTATTAATATGTTACACAAGTCTTAAGTGCTCCATATCTCCGCAACTTCTTATTCGATTTCCATATTTTTGGGCTTGTTCAAAAGCAATGTTTAAGGCCATTAAATATATTGGATATTTTTCTTTGATGGATATTCAACTGGAAATGGTGCGAAATTCGCGATGCGAATTCGTGGTGCGATGATGCTTGTTGAAAACTTGACCAGGATCGATGAGTTTAATGCTGTAAAAAAATTGGAAATCGGTGTGGAAACACACCCCATAAACAGTTTGCTGGGTCCTGAAAACATCAGCTTTTTTGGCAAGTCAGCTGTGTGTAGGGTAGGGGAACACTGTAATGCAAGGAATGTAAGCTATCTCTTCTTAGACTTTTTCACGTATCGGTGCCTATTGAGACTCTAAATTATATGGAATATTTATTTCACAGCATGCTTCATAGTATAACAGTTTGTATTTGCTCAATGATTTTTAGTCCCAAGATAAGTAATTATTATCTGTTTCTTTCAGATTTGGGCACAATGACTAAACGGCTGAAAGCTGGATACTATGTCACACGAAGATTATTCATAGCTGATATGACCCGTATATTTTCTAATTGCCGGCAATATAACAAGCCTGACACACAGTATTATACTTGGGGTAACACGCTAGAAAAATATTTTCAAACTAAAATGAAAGAAATGGGTCTGTGGGACAAATGAATTGTTCTCAATGGTAGCTCCTTCAATATCTTTGTCAAATGCATTTCACCAAAGATAAGGCAGAAAGAAAACAGGAACTGAACAGTAAATATTTCAAAGGAAGAAATTGGCTCTGATGGCATTATTAATTTCAGTTAATTAAGCTTGAGCAAGCTTACCTAATTTCTCAGTGAAAAATTGTGACCTAGATTAATATGATGGGTCAGTTGCGCTGGTCACAGAATTGTGTTTTGACGCTTGATTCCTGTAGATTAGCAAAAAATAATAAAATCTGTCTAAACCACAACTTTCTACGTTCAGTATTAACCAAGACATTGCACTTTGACAAGTCAGGCTTTTGACGTCATCCACCGCCCCAGTGACACCCTTGGTTTCTTCCTCTTCTGTTCGATCAGTGGTACAGAGAGTGCACCGCAAAACTTCAACGACATTAAACGTAAACAAACTGAAGAAACAGGAGGATTCGCACTTTAAAGATCTTCTTATCAGGAGATAATGCACTCGCCGCGAAGAGATTAGGCGGTCAGTCAGTTCAACTCTGTTTGTTCACGTGTTCTGAGGTTTCGCGTTGCACCCTCTGCATCACTGATCAAACAAAAGAGGAAGAAACCAAGGGTGTCACTGCTATGGTGGATGACGTCAAAAACCTGACTTGTCAAAGTGCAATGTCTCGGTTAATATTGCACGTAGAAAGTTGCGGTTCGGACGGATCTTATTATTTTCAACTAACCTACAAGAATCAAGCATCAAAACACGATTCTGTGACCAAAGCAACTGACCCATTGTATACCTCTCTGATCAATCCTTTTTTGGTTGCTTTGAGGGGAATCTTCAATAGCTTATGTGTTGCAGTCTCCTGGCTGACTTTTGAAGTGAAGCACACCATTCTTGCGTTTTTACTGATTTGAAGTGTTGCCAATCTTGTTTAGCCTTCTGTTTCAAAAAAAAACCAAGATTGTTGGTAGGGGCCATATTCAACAAATTTCGTTGGAGGAGGGATGCTCATTAGTTGGACTGAGTTTAACTAAAATGAACCAAATCATATCCAATCAAACTGAGAAAAAGAGGTTTGGAGTTTGATGCCTCCATATGACTTAATGTTATAGGTAGTGTTGACACCTTTTTTCAGTCAGAATTTTTTTTCTCGATTTTGAATTTTTGTCAGGAGACATAAGAAAGTTGGTTAAGTCGAAAACCACTCCGAACACTGGCCCCACGCCCTCTCCCAAAATGTGACTTACTTCTTCTCTGTTAAAATCAGTTCTTTTTAAATGATGGACAAAAAGAAAATTTTTAGGAAAGGTAGCAACATGAGGGGCAACTAATAATTTTCTCACTTCAGTTTGTACTCGCTGACCCTTCTTAGTAACATTTAGCATGGAGTATATATTGTTTTTTAGGCTCATTTTATTTCACAGCCTGGGTATGTGAAAGGTCCTACAATTTCATCAAGAGAGAGCTCTAAGAGTTCGTGCGTTGAGAATCAAACTTATCAGCCTTTAGATTGAAAAATAAGGAATTAACTAATTTTTTTGAACTATTTACAATTTTTATTTCAGAATGTGTGGTAGAAAAATCTATATTTCTGATCAATGATTTGTGATTTTTATGTGACACAGACAAAAGAAAAAAAAAATGAATCATTGCCAATTCCAGAGTTTTGTTTTCTCTCCTAACTTGTTTAATTTTTTCAACCCCCACCCGAACAACTATTACTAGGAAAGTATTGACCATACATTAGTTTAAGCAAAGTATCACTGAAATCAGTCAATTTCCGATCTTTGGCAATTTGTAGCCGCCCTAAATACTGTCCAAAGTGAATATATCATTTGGCTGCTTAATTGGAATGTTGAACATGTATTACTTGGGAGAGGGAAGTAATCAACAAGAAAGAGAAAAGAACAAAAATATCCTTGTTTCTAAGTTTAAAAAAAAATTAAAAAATTACAGGTTAAAGGATTGGAGTTTACAAACGAAAATATTCGAAACAAGAAACTCTGGTTTGTTCTGACAATACATTCGTCAAGTATAAGTCTTTTTTTTCTTAAGAAGTAATGAGGATAAATCTAATCGCTGAAAAACATCTTTCCCGTATCACTCTCTACTTTCCACATAGCCCTTTAATTGAATGCAATGCATTAGTGTCTGAGTGGGATAATTTTTGCAGCACCCACCTCTTGCTACTGCAACGCTGCAAGACTATGCTAAGCCTAGTATGCTGCTGTGCCCAGGGAAAACGCCGTATGAACCTTCAAGCGCTGTCACGAATTTACGGGAAAATTTGTAAATGTTCTCTTTGGATTATTCAGAGAATTCTTTTCTTGATTTGATCTAAAGTGTTTGAAAATTTCAAAGGAAAAATATTCTTTCTTAAAAAATGAATATATTCTGGGAGGAAATTTAACACCCGGATGTTCATACGGCGTTTTTCCTTCACACGGCAGTGTGGCTAACATGATATGACTTGAGACTTGGTAACTTCCTTTAAGCAGGACCTCCTCTTCTCATCCTCCAAATTCTTCAGACAAGTGATTTCCATCCTCTTCTTCAGTTAAAAAGAAACTTCCGTGGTCCATGATATTGCCATGGGCAAAGAATTACAAGAAACTAGAAAGAAAAACAAGCACAGCCATGCATGCAGATTTTGGACATGTAGAAGGGAGAGGCGAATGCTGAAAAAATAATCCTACTTGCAAATCAGACCATCAAATTTCAAAAGCGAATTTTGGGAAGTAAAGGCATCATTTACCGACTGCATTTATCAATTTTAGTTTCGGAGAAAAGAAAAGATACATACTAAATTTTCAAATGCCCTTTGTAAACCGCTTTGACATGCATAAATCTAGTTATTACATTGATTCAAGCTTCTAAATGGATTGCAACTTTAAAAAAAAAAACTTTCCTTTACAGTCAATCTGCTCTCTCTTTTCAAATCAATGGTAGAATTTTGGAGGGGTCTGTCTACTCCACTGGACGATGAGCACACTCAGGGAAATAAATTGGCATTCATTCAACTCTAATCCACGGTGGAAGTTGTGGTTGCTTCTTCAGCGACTGTATCATCGTTGCCATCTTCTGACTTTTTGCCTCCATCAGGAATCCATAAACCAGAATCAACACATCTTTTCATGTGGTAGACTGCTTCTTCTTGGGGCATTTTGGCAATTGTCTCTTGGAGTAAAGGAATGTCTTGCTTATCGAAGCAATCTCGTAGTTCCTGAAAAACATAAATGAACATATGTTAGAATGATGCTGGAGTCTTTAACGGATACATGAACGCACTTAGTAACGAACCTAATTTGGTGAAAATCCTCATGAAGAAATTTACCTCTGGATGAACTCCATAATTATTCTATGCAAAACGGAACAGGCAAAAAAACCACTAATTCAGATTGTCACAAGGCGGTATAATTTGAAAAATATTTCTCAACTACGTTCCCATATTGATCATCAGTGTCTAGAGCGAGGCAAAGTTATAAGTATAGTAGACTTATCACTGAGGCCATTCATGCACCACTCACACTACATTGTGCAGCATAGTGCGTGTGCTATTTAGTCACTCTACATAGGCCAGCAGGCAATTTCTTCTGAGGCGAGTAATTGAAAACTGCACGTTTAGCACTGATTAGGCTCTCTGATTCATGTTCCACCTAAATGCATACAACTTTTAATATGCCATTTGCTGGGAAATTCATAAAAAGTCAACGTTCAAGTACTGAGAAAGAATCATATCTTCTGATCCCTTTGATACATCCCCATGAAACTCAAAAGATACTTTATTTAAGGTATGGAAAATCTTCTTGGCGGATTATCAAGTTAACAACATGGACTCGTATCTGCTAATCAGTCGGAGAAGTCTTTGTATGTATTTTTGATCAACATTTTAACTGGCAAACACACCAAGGACATCATTGCAAGTGATTTTTTCCATTTGATCATAGTTGAAGTGTATGTTAATATCTTGTTTAGGAGTCGATTTCCGAACTTCCAGTTACAGAATTAATTTTTTTGCATGTGAAATTCTGAAAAGTAAGTGTACAACACTGTTCTTTGACAATTAAATTGTCTAATGGCCATTTATATCAAAGAACCTTGGGTGAAAACCAAGGAATTAGGTGCTGGGTAAATTTCGTTCATTTTTGTATTTACCCATTTCATAATACTACTTTCATCTAACTATCGTCAAGTCAAGCCAAGAATCTCCTTTTTTAAACCCTTCCCCAAGATAAAAATAAGGTAACAGCACCAGTACCCGGAATGGTACCAGTAAGTATCCGGAACGTCGCTCAGTTTTTTGTAAAAAATAAGCGGTACTTAGGTTCATCAGTGCAAAAAGGGCATCAGGTTTTCACAAATTACACTCAGAGGGCGCCACCTTGCAATAAGTGTGATGGTTGTGCGCTCCTTTTATTATCTGTACCATGCTTCTATAGTGACGTATTCACAGAGCGGTTCGTTCTGTGAATACGTCACTATAAAAGCATGGTACAGATAATAAAAGGAGCGCACGACCATCACACTTATTGCAAGGTGGCGCCCTCTGGGTGTAATTTGTGAAAACCTGATGCCCTTTTTGCACTGATGTACCTACCGCTTATTTTTTACGAAAAACTGAGCGACGTTCCGGATACTTACTGGTACCATTCCGGGTACTGGTGCTGTTACCTTAAAGCACTTTACTGTTTACATTTGTACAAAGATACACAAGAGCAAAAGTCTTTTAGAAAATGATACCTGTCAAAAATGCACACTACATTTTAAATCTAAGGAATTTTTTTTTTACTTAAAATGACTGAATGACTGAAAATAATTACCTTAGGCAGAGATTCAAGTACTTCCAGTGGATCAAGGCCACCAGGACCAAGTCGTTCCTTCCTTTCCTCTTCTTCTACCTCTTTAATAGCTGCCTCAAGTTTCTCTTGTGCTCGCTTTTCTATCCTCCCGATAAAGCTTTTGAGATCATCATTAAATGAGTCTTTGTACTCAGTTTCAGCAACTTGAATTTTTGTGTAGAATGATGGAACGCAGGCTCTTGGATCGACATCCAGCTGCTTGGAGATATCAAGAATGTACTGCATTGTTATACACTGGTGAGCAACATGCGTCATTAGGTCATGTTTCTGAAAAGGAAGCAAAGTACTTATGAGCTCACTCACAGCTGACTGACACTTTTCCAATAAAAACGAGAGAGCTGAAGATAGAAAACAGGAGAAATAAACTACCAGTAATAACATGATCATTTGGCCAAATTGCAGTTCTTTCTTCTTTTAGTTTCAAATTTTTGACCTTTTTGATTGGCAGATGAATTTTTCAGACATTTCCACTTATACCAACAACTAAGTAAGCTGTGTCATAAATGTTGCTAGAAGTTCTTCATATTCAGCCCAAATTCTTGCTTTGCAGAGGTGCAATTTACTCCAAGAATTCATGAGTAGGCCTTCAGAATTTGAAGCATAGCGATGTTTAACTATCCCCAGATTTGTTCTTATTGACTGACTGACTACAGAACTTACAGTTTGGGGTTGAACATTCTTATTTGAAGTAATTAAAAAATCCAACTGCAATTTCTCAGACTAACTCGTTGAACAAAAGCGAAGGCCAAAAACTAAAGTTGCCAGTCAATGAGGCTTTTAAGGCTTTAAGTAGAGTATTTTTAAATCCTGATTTTGACAAGACATACCTCTTCCATTTCTAAATTGATGCACCAAATGACTAAATAGTTAGCTGTCTCTTCGCATGCTAGCTGTGGATGCTGTTGCAGAAACCTTTTACTGTCATCGTATTTACGGAGCATGCCAAATTGTTTCACTAATTTCTCATTCTGGTTGATGAATTCTTTCATGCGCTCTTCTTTTTCTTCTTCTGTTAGCTCTTCATTCTTGCGAGGTAGGTTTGTGTTGACAACTGTCTTAGTGAATCCAGGTTTGCTAATTGTATCAACATTCCAAGGTGTAAGCTGTAATAAGAGAAAACTAGAATGACTGGTGGGAATACACCTCAAGTAATTTACAAAGAACAAAAAACTATTTGTGACAAACTGATTCACTTGTACACTCAATCAAGAGTCAGCATATCTAAAAGCATGAGGCATTTCTCATGCAGTTTTGTGCGTAAATTCTTTGTGACCTCCAACTAATTTAACCTACACTTGACTTAGGACGTTCGAATACCTTTAACTTATGACCACAAGGAATGGGAAAACTACTGGGGAGCTGAACTTTTTGAACTCTTGTTTTTTTGGAATGCCCTATCCCATTTGATGGTGAGGATGCGTAGCATTGAAGTGGAAGACAGCTTGCGACTGAGAACAAAGTAACTTAAGATGAGTAGGATAATTTCAAGTAGCAAGGCATTTTCTGATGGATTCTCCATTTTAATTTTTAAGTGAGTTATCTGGTTACCTTTTCTTTTTTCTTCAAGTCATCTTCTTTTTGTTTTATTTTGTTAGCTTCTTTCTCCAATTCAGCCAATGCTTTTTGCAGTTCACTAAGATCTCCTCCTGCAAGTTCCGCCTCTTTCAACTTTTTTTGCGTTTCTTCAATCTTCTTGCGATTTCTGGGAAGAATGGAGGAAAGTGAGAGTAAGATAAATTTACAAAACGGATTGATGTTTGTTCAATTCTTCAATGTTTAAATTACTTTTCATTTGTCAAATTTAGGATTATGTTAATTTAATTCCTTTCAATAAGAGTATCTTTTTGAATATATAATATCTTTCTAGATACAAAAGAGATTATAAGCTTGTTTCATTCAGGTTCCTGCCTCTTAAAATTTTTCAGGGAAAATTATTCATTGACAGTGTTGGTTTTTTGGTTAACATATGCTAGAATTAAGTTTGAAATTGAAATTCTCATTATAAGGAGGACAAACTCATGCAAGCAACATTTTGTCTGAAAGTGATATCGATGGTGAGACTGCAGAAATATGTATATCGGTTTGCGGTATTGCAGACTTCCTGTCATACTTCATTTTTAACATAGAGAACCACTGAACGTCATTTCTTAAAAACTTCCGTGATTTTCCGTCTCCACATGCAGAATATTCTGAGAAAATTTCAAGCCATGATGTTGGTTCAGTCTCTTTTAAGAAAAAAAAATAGGAGCAGAGATTTTGAAACACCGCGACAGAGATTAGCATTTTTGCAGATTCACCATCAATATGCTGTTTGGTACAACACTAGTTGCGAACAATCAGGTAGATGACTACAGACATGTTTCCAGTCTAATTTGATTTACTGTCAGTGCAGCGTAGCTTCCCAATTTTCTGTTTCCAAGCTATGAAAGCATTTGCTTGAATGCGCTCTTTCCCTCTATAATGAGTCTCTCAGTTTTAAACTGACCTCTAGCGCTAGAGCACATTAGCCAAAAAACCAACAATATCTGAATGATCCAAGCATTCCACTGGAACACATGGATCAGGCTAGACTGCTGCCGTAAACCAGGAGAAAAAGTAATGCGGTTCATCACCATCCTTGGCAGTTTGGATAAAAACAAGCCTTTACAATAAACATCATTGCCGAAAAGAAGGGTCTGCATGAAAACAGGGAATAAAGATTCTATCACAGATACAGATTCAATGGGCTGATTGATGATTCTTTCTTAGAGCACCTGGTGCGTCTGAGGCAGTTCTGTTACTAAGTAGTAGGGTTTATCTCTCTTTGGTGTCATGTCTCTCTGCCTCTAAATGTCTATTGATTAGAATGAACAAAGATGACAAAAAGCGGCAAAAGAGAATCAAGCTTTTGAAGGAGAAAGTTCACTTACTCAGTCTTGTTTCGATCGAAGTCTCTTTTTTCTCTTTCTTGCTCTTCCATTCTTTCAACTCTTGCTTGATGCCGCCAGCGGAACAGTGAAGGAGTGTCAATGTTTGGGTGAGTTTCATCTTCATCATCTGAGATCTATACACAAAATAAGATGAGAGGAAACTACATTAATACAAGCCAAAGCAAGACCATTCTCAGCAAATAAATTTTTTTTTCCATTATTGTAATTGTTGTTCTTCATGGGTTAATTGGCCTAATTACACCTTGCAGATAAACAGCCACATACCAAACGGCAGGATCACACAGACAATGATTTGAGAATAAACAAAGTTTAAGTATGAGGGCTTACTAAAAGTCATAACCTTTTCGAGACAACACCCATCGAAGCTGCCTCCCAGTTGCTTGAGGTTAGATCTGTATTTTCTGGGGTAGCATAACCATGGTAATGATATGCAGTGGACAATTTATCGCTTTACTGACGAATAGATTTGTGTTTATTTGTCCTTTTCTTTCTTACCATCGTGTTCCTCCTGCATGTCTATTAGAAAATGAACACAACGAATTCAGGAATTAATTAGGAGTTTGTTTGTTGTCCAAAACATGATGCGCAAGTTCTACACAAGCTGATACTTATTTTGAAAAGTGCAGACCATTGATCAGAGCAAAAGTAAATATGACTAACAAAGAGGGTTCCTTGCGGACATAGCATTCCATGACTCAATTCGGTTTCAGTGGATAGTGGTCAGCTTACTCCGACTACTTATCTGAATAACAAATTCTGATAGTTTTACAAAGGTAGCAAACTGCTTCTATGATACACTTAATATTTACTTTAGTGTGCCTTCCGTCAGTTAATAATTTATGTACTTGTACTGAAAAAGCATGCAGAACCAGAAGTGTGTACCTCAATATCTTTCCATTTACTGTAGTCGACCATTTTGTCCGATGGAAAATTTGTCCACAAAAACACCGGTTAAAATTTCACAAGGTATAAAAATACGAGGGATTTACGATAAAAATTAGGAAATTCACCAGGAAAAATTACTCCAGTTGTAATTTGTAATCAGTGAGACACTGCAGAAGCATTTTTTTCGAGAATATTCATAAACATTGGTGATTTCGATGATTGGTGTTTTAGGTTAGGGCTCCATGACGTCACCTTGAAACATCAAAACGTAATCCGTTGACTAGAAAAGTTTTTTCCCCATTGTTCAGCACCTCAGCTGGGCAACGACGGATTGCTTCGATGAGTATGATGATGAAGTAAACAATTCACCCACTGTGACTTGCAAGTGCCGAGGCCGCGTTAGTGTGATAACTATTTATTTTTAGTTTTCATTAAATTTAAAAGTGGTTATTTACCGCGGCAGTGATCTCCTCGAAATTCCCAAGCAAACGTACTTCTTCCTGCAATAAATCCTTGTAAGTTTCACAGTAATAATGCTCTGAAGTCTTGTGTTTTCATTTGATAATACCTAACCTCAACAGCTTATTGTCATCACTATTGTCAGCAACAATAGGATCTCTTGCTGTCCTTTTTCGTTAAAAATCCTAGAAGAATTCTGTGATCAATTCTTTTAAGCTCTGTGTCTGAGCGAAAAATTCTGAGATAACCTGGTGTGAAATAGTTTGTATCTCTAAAATATGCAACGCTCAGTTTCGATTGCGCTTTCAACGCTCATCGAATCAATTCTGCCCTTTACTTACTTACACGCACTGCTGGTTGATCAGCTGGGTTGCTAAAGTCTTTGGAGAGCTCTCTGTCATTACCCGGTGACAATAACAACTGTTGATGGGCTCAGGAGGCATTATGTGAAGATTAGCTACGCCAGTCTTCGAACTGCTCTCCAAGTCTCTGTCTCTCGAAGTTGGAGAGCTTGAGAGTAGCACGAAGGATGATGTGGAGGAGAGGTTAGCTTTACCTCTCTTCTTCACTTCGCGCCATTTTACGGAAGCAACACCATCAGGTTTTGGGTCTGCGATTTAGGAAAGTTTGACAGTTGAGAAATAAGAGAGATTTTGTTCACTTAACACTTTCCCAACCAAATTTAAATGAACAATGAAGAATCTGGCCAACAACAATGCAACGAGGCTCTCAGTCAGTGGGTAATCTTTTAAGCCCTCTGCTTGACGTTCCTCTGGAGAGCAGACCGCAGACATTAGCAGTGCACTTGTAGCTATGCTTTTTCCATTAATTATTTTACTTACTATCCCAAGTTCTTAAGAGTTACAATTTCAATTATTTTTCTATTTTTTTTTTTTAAGGCAATGGATCGTTTACTCCGGTTAGGTGGTGGGGTGCCTGGCCTTGGGCAGGGACCCTCCCATTCAGATGCCCCCGTAATGGATACAGCTGAGCAGGTCTACATATCTTCTCTAGCTCTTTTGAAAATGTTGAAACATGGTAGAGCAGGAGTGCCCTTAGAAGTCATGGGTCTCATGCTTGGAGAATTTGTCGATGACTACACGGTTCGTGTTATCGATGTGTTTGCTATGCCCCAAACTGGAACGGTAAGTAATTTCAACCTTTTTTCCCTCTTCCCAGAATCTATTTTGTATTACTTGGAAAGTAAATAATCAAAAAAAGTCCCCTGCTTAATGTCACTGTACAGCTAACAAGCGGCCTCCTATGGTGTAGTGATAGTAGTGCTGACTCTATGATCAGAAGGTCCTAGGTTCGATTCCCGGCCAGGTGACCTGAGTTTGATGATCTCAATCAAGAATCGCCTTGGGAAAGTTGGACTGCATTTTGCAATTTGGAACTATAAATTTTGGCTCTTCTGGAAAAACACTTATGTGCATAGGGAAACTAATGGCACATACGTTGTTTTTAAACGGGCTAGAATTTATAGTTCCAATTGCAAAATGTAGTCCAGTTGTAGTCCTACCTTATTCAAATTTGAAAATTCAAAATTTTCCAACACAAATTTTATTTTAGTGTTTTGGAAAGTAGATACTTTGACTTAACTTCAAAGCAAGACTTTGCTCAAATTTTTTTTTATAAACCTTTGAGAAGTTACAGCCATTGAAAGTTTTATTGCACTTAAGAAAATTCAGTTTTTTGCAATTATTAATATTTGCTATAAAATCAACAAAGCAAAGGCGTTAAATCAGTTAGACCGTGCATCTTGTGTCCCAGAAGGCGAGACAACTTTTCAAAATTTGCATGGCGCACTGACTGATGAGTGTTAGCACCGACCTCGCATTGATGAGTTCATTTGTCCCAATTGTGCACATCTGGGCAAATGTAGTAGCGGCCTAAGTGAATTTTTGTCAGGCTGTGAGGCTCTTTTCTCAGTTGATAATAGTTTGGAAAAGTGAAACTTTGCAATCGGTCGTAAAATATATGCTCAACAACTTTTGACCCCAGGAATTTTGTGTGGAAATAGACTCGAGTGAGTTATTCACGACAAAATGAGCGTGCAAGTGAATTCTCCATTGCCTCCCTGCAGTCTCGTTGAGTGCTTAGGACATACGCTCTCTCCCCTTCCCTCATCATAGGGTTGAAAGAAACTTGTCCTTTCTTGCCTGTAAAATACTGAACTGGATGCACAGTCTACATGGTACAATGTCTTTGCAATGGAGGAACCAAATGACCTTAAATTCGGGGTATAATTTTTTATCCTCAGGTATTTACAGCATCCCAGTTTGACTGGGATCCTAGAGGTCACAGCTCAAACCTTGTTGAGTTGATGGGGGACGACCCCCATGGGGTTTTATTTGAAGAGGCTGTTTTTTTTCTTGCTCAGCATTACTTAATTATTAAAATTGATGTCATTACTTGTTTCACAGGGGGTCAGTGTAGAGGCTGTTGATCCTGTTTTCCAAGCCAAAATGTTGGACATGCTTCGCTTAACAGGACGACCTGAAATGGTAGTTGGTTGGTACCACTCCCATCCTGGCTTTGGCTGCTGGTTGTCTGGTGTGGATATCAATACGCAACAAAGTTTTGAAGCTCTCTCAGAACGTGCAGTAGCAGTAGTTGTTGATCCTATTCAAAGTGTTAGAGGTTAGTTCAAGTAGTTCATCGTTGTCGTTTCAAAATTTGGAAAAAAGCTTTACCAAAAATGCAGAAATTTTTTAGCCCTCCTATTTTTCATCATATAAGGCTTAATTAAAATATTTCTCCTCCCAGGCTACTTCAGAGGTGCCAAAACTTCTAAACCACGCTACCAGACGGGTCGCAATCTGTAGTTAGTGAAAATGAGAAGGCCCCAATAAATCGTATTTTGAAATGGGAAGGCGGCAATTTTTTTTTTTTCTTTTTTTTTTTTCCAAAACTGTGGTGAAAATATCTTATTTTTCATGTACATGTTTTCATTTGTTACTCACCTACATCCTCTTTGCAAAATTGCAGAAGGGGGTTTTTTTGCTTGTCAGCGCTGAGAATAAACAGAAAAGCAAGTATATCATTTAACACCATAGTACCTCTTAGTTTTCACCTAGCGAGGAAATTTTAAGCAAGGAGATAGTCAATCAGGAACTGAACATTTCCAATGCTGGCCTCCAGCTTCTCATTTCAAGTGGAGTTAATCATACTAAAAAAAGTTTGCTCTGTTATAATTTTCAGGAAAAGTTGTTATCGATGCCTTTAGGCTGATAAATCCCAACATGATGGTCCTGGGGCAAGAACCGAGGCAAACGACCAGTAACCTTGGGCATCTTCAGAAACCATCTGTTCAGGTGAGAGACATAATTTCAGTTTCTTCCCAAAGGGCACTGCGCCAAAAGAGGAGAACTAGATTGCACACTTAATGTTTGTCAAATATCTAAACCCACCATCCCAACACACCTCATGATAATAATAATAAAATAGTGTATTTCCTCCGTAAAATACACTGAAAAATAGAAATCCATTTCTTCCTTCAAACTTAGGGGAAAAAGATACCAAAATCAAATTAAGCTTCCAAAAATCATTATGCAGAAGAAAGTTACTCTGGATGCTTACAAGCAGCACTTCGTGTTTCTTTGTGAAAGTGTAAGTTTCTATGAATGGAATTCTGCAGCGAAGTTCCTTATTCACCAAAAAATAGGGTTTTTTGTAATGCACTGCTCTTCACAAGTTCAAATTGTAGGGAGGGAGCCTTTTGGCAACCCTCAGGGTAATCTCTAAGATCTGCCGCTCCTTTTGAAGCTGCATGTATGAAATCTAAATATACTATTTTAATGACAGGAATGCATTCAAATAAGTATAAAAGGAAACTTACTTTTAAGACAACCCATGAATTCAGCGTATGCAACTGATGTATATGCGCTGTAACACCTGTGGTTTCTCTTCAAAATTTCAACTGTGTAGTAGAGATAGCCCTCGAAAATTATTTATTCTCTATGTGTAGTTCTTGTCATCCCTTAAGATTCAATTCTCTCAGTGCAGCTTATTGACAAATTTATGAATAATTTCTTTAATTTTGGATGTATCTTATTTTGAGAGTTCCTTTCAAGCAAGGAAGTCTACCTTGCTCCCTCCTATTTTTTTTTTTTTTTTATTTATTTATTATAAACGATGTTTTATTCTTTTTTAGGCCTTAATCCATGGCTTAAATCGACATTACTACTCAATCTCCATAAACTACCGCAAGAATGAACTGGAACAGAAAATGTTGTTGAATCTTCACAAGCGATCTTGGATGGATGGCCTGACACTAACAGATTATGTTGATCATTGTAAACTCAACGAAAGCACTGTCAATGAAATGTTAGACCTTGCCAAAAATTATAATAAGGTAATTCAAACTTTCTTATTGTATGTTGTTTTTTAATTATTTTTTTTTCATCATAAGAGGAAATCATGTCTTTCCTCTTTCACCTTATTCTTAAAAATCAGAATCTCAAATTTTGAAAATCAACATCTCAGGAGCAAAAAACGTAGAAGATGTTTTGCTTGCGTTCGAAGTTTCCTTATTTATTATTATTAGAGGCTGTCTATAAAATTTATAGCGCTAAATTTTGGATTTTTCGACCCCCCCCCCTCTCCCCCTTTTAATGCTATAGGCCCCTATCCCTCAACCTGTAACAACAAAACGGTGTGATGCTCTCCGCTCCCCTTCCCCCTTCCTCAATACAGTTTCACAAATTTTTGGAACGACCCTTCGTTGTAGTATACATGCTTATCAAATATTTGTGGTTATATAGGACTGGGCAGTTCTTGAATTTTCCATCTGAATTACCTGGAATGAAACCCAATAATAAGCCCAAATGTAATCATTGAACAAATTCTGTTTTTCGTCTATGGAAGCTTATCAAGCTTCTTTTGTTGAAATAAAATTGAATTATAATGCGAATAAAATTAGCTAAAATAGTTTGCTCATTTGATGATTCAGGTATCCAGTGGTGACTTTAATTATTTTGTTGACACTAATTTAAGAGCAACATCTTATGACGAAGGAAATTTCTAAGATTTTAAGGACAATAAGTGCTGGCCCAAAGATTTTCAGTCTCAAGAATTTTTTTGACCTATAAGAAGTATTTTCAATCAAAGAGCACAATTTAAAGTGAAAATATTGACAATAACCAGAGAGAAGTATGATTCACTGTTGGAAGTTTGTAAATGTTACTGTCAAAAGCAGAAATCAAATCACAATTGAATCAGTGAGAATGGAAACACACCAATTCGGTAACTCGAAAATGCTCAATTTTTATCAAAGACAGTCAATTTTCCTAAAAGTCATTGAAGTTAGGGAATCTATTTCAACTTGGACCTTTAAAGTGTCCTTATGTACTTGTGTTTCGACACCAAAAATTTTATTCTTGAACTTACTTCTTCACCTAGTGTGCAGTTTTGCGTGTGGCTTCATTATTATCATTTTTTCGAGTTGGTGTGTTTTTGTTCTCACTGATTCAATTTGACTGAATTCAATTTGCTTGATCATATCTTGAGTTTTTTAAAAAGTTAGCATTTGACACGTCAAATCACAGTGTGACTTGTCACAATGCGATTTGCTGATCAATGTCAGAGAAAAATATGAGGAATGATAATGTAACAAGATGGAACTTCATACCTTAAAAAAACTGTCAATGTGCTGTGTTGATCTTTAAGAATAATGAGAAACGCATGCAAAATGACACAGATTTACTAACGCATTTCATATTATAGAGGGGGAGACACGAAAATTCACTATTTTCATCGGGAAAAAAAATCACCTTTTGATTTAAATTTTGTGGAAGTGTCGCATCAGTACATTAAAGCATTAAAAATTAAATTATTAGAGGGGAAGGAGGGAGACTAAAAAACTTTATCTGTTTGCACCTTTCTCTAACACATTCAGATTTGACTGATCCTACATTCCCACACAGACACATTTTTCCAGTACTTATGAGTTGGCAGTTTTTTTTGTGTGGCTTATTTAATTTAAAACTTTTGTCTTTCCATTCGTGACTCATTAATTAGTTTACTAGCAGGAAACCCGTGCTACGCACAGGAAAACCCCACCATCAGCAATCACTGTGATTAGTGATCAGTTACTAATTGTGTTTCTGAATTATTATCTACTATTTCAAAATTGGCGAGACGCACTGGTTTGATAAAAATGCAGAGATTAGTAGTATGCTGATTAAAGCTGCTATTTTGGTCTGTTCTGCAGTAAGCGCATGTGATAATTATAATAATCAAAAATACCCAATCAAAAGTTGGTTATTTTCATAAGGATTTGTTACTTTTGTCAGTTCAATGTTTAATTGAAGTTAGCATGGTGAGTTTCAGCCGCGAAAATTACGGGATTTAACCAGCGGTTTCGTCTAATTCTCAGAAATGGCGGGTTTGTCATCTACATCGCGGAGAAAACGTGATTTTTCCAGGGATTTTGTAAAACAAATTAGAAATTACACGATAATCACCACGATATCATTGCAAATACGTCGTGTTCCTAGCGAATTTCTAAGATTATTATAATTGCACGTTATTCACATCAATATCGTGGTATACACGCGAATTTCTGACTCAATTAAGACTACACAATGTGCGCATAAAACTCGTAAACATATGTTACTTGGGATGGGCGAAAACGTATGATTTTCCTTCAATTTTGTATGATACCACATACCCACTCCGGAGTTCAAATAGTTGCTCGTCTTATTTCTGCTCGTTTTAAGTGACGAATTGGAAGAATCCAAATTCAATTTCACGAGAACTATGAAATGTAACCATGTGGAATGGTTTCCTTATATAAGATTTAATGTTTTGAAATAAAAAAAGAAAAAAGAAAAAAAAAGGCATGTCGAAGCTATGTTCTAGTTTTGCTCCGCTGTCAGCACCGCGTCTGCAGGCGCAGTGTGACCGAGCCGTCATTATTATTATTATTACTTTACTCTATATAAAGCTGCTGTTCCCACTCACTCTGCCCCCCCTAGATAAAAAATGGCCGAAGCGATTTCCTTTAAAATTGGTACACGCTTAGCTATTGTAATGAGGAGTTGATTAAAATTATTCCCATTCAAATCCGCTGCCTCGGATGCCCGCAAGAGCGAAAAGTTATTTCTCC